CGTTTTAACATTGTATCTTCTTTAATCTTCTTCATTTTAATCATAGTCTTGGTGACTTTTTCCTATGCAGCAAAATTGGCTAGAAAGTCCATGTAAAGTGGATATAGTGAAAACTGAGTTGTATAATGTAGTACAAAGCTGGGCAGAAGCCAGCCCTGGATCTACTGGTACTGGATTTCTCACTCAGTTATCAAACAGTGGGAGCAACAAAATGACCCCCAACACTGTAAATTATATTTCTTTACATATATCGTAATTTGGAAAGCTTGGGATAGCTAGGAATGTCTTTTTCTGTGAAAGGACTGTGAGCTTCTTTTAATGTTTATTTAATTCTGTGGGGTCAGATAAGGCCATCATCAAAATGGCATTTCCCCTGCAATACATACTTACCTGGGAGCATGGCTGTTCTCTGGGGCTGGCAAGATGGGAAAAATTCTGAATTTGTTTATTATTTTAATGGGCACAGAAATGCATGCTGTGTTGTATTAGTACCAGCTGAATTCAGGAATTGTGTTCACTTACATCTATGCAGCTTTGCCGCCTGTCTAGAAACACCCTTGTAGATAATTCCTACCTGGAAGGAAGTGTCACCCTTGTCCTCAGCAAGCACAGAGAACGATTGCACTGTGAGTCATATAATGTGCCATTTGTTGGTTCTACTGACATGGGCAGTGCCTGCATTGACATTCATTGACCGGTAAAAGATAAACCTTCTGTTTTGCATTAGTATCAATGTATATATGGTGAATCACTAATACTTAGCAGCTTTACAGGATGGGCTCATGATATTTGCTGCCTGAAGCAAAGGGGGAAATGACACCTTTCCCCATTACATGTATGGAAGCTGGCCTGATAGACCAGTAGTTCCCAACCTTTTTTTAAGTTGTGACCCAGTTTTATTATATCCAAATAAACAGTGACCCCTACCCCCACCACGTTTTCATAAAAAGGCACTTTTAATGGGGCAAAGTCATCCTTTCTGGGAATGTAGAGGCTTCTTTCTCCCCACCCCAAAGGGCCTCATACGTACACATACACACTAACTTTAATATTCCACTCTGAAAAGTCAAGAAAGAAATACACTGCATAGATGTAAGTGACCCAAGACTAGAGGTGGGCACGAACCTTGGTTTGGAGGTTCATGCCAATTTGTACATGCAGCACCAAAGGTGTTGCACATTCCGTTCCTGGCCAATGACCCATTGAGAGCGCACTCCTCTCCTCCTCCTCTCCATTTGTTTGATCTGTTCCCGGCAGGAGCTCAAGTTTGCCTGACCTGCCTCGTTGTCTGAGTGGGCAATCAGCCAAGGAAGTGGGGCAGGAAAGCCTGTGCCAAACGACATGAGGAGAGGAGTGTGCACCAGCTGGCTGCATGGAGGATCCAGCCAGGAAGCCAGGGAAAGGGAACCGAAGTTTGTGGCCATCTTTATCCATGACCCTTTGAAATCCCCTTGTGGGTCACAACCTCCAGGCTGATAAATGCTATGATAGTCTGGTGAAACAAGAGACCGCAGGTGAGCAGGCTAAATTTGTGCTGTTGCCTGCAGAGCAGTGTTCACCTCTGTCCTCCAGAACCTTGTACCTACTTCCTGTCCTGCAGCATCTGTTGCCTGGGATGTCTATAAAATCTGGCTAAAACAAATTTGTTATACATTTCTTTCTACATTTTCTAGCATAAATCCAGTTTTTCCCCAAATGAGCCCAATTGAGAAAAGCTAGCAAACCTGGACAATGATCCAGGGAGAGGAAACGCCATTTTAGGATAGCCACAGTTGAGATCTAGCTGCTCTTCCATGTAGGGACAGATGGTAGAGTTAAAAAGTTCCATATCCTAAATATATAAATAAAAAAGTCCAGGGACTTATTATCATGTATGGTGGTCATGTGAAAAAGAAAAAAAATGGTTGCAGGTTTGGGAAACGTCACAAGAAATTGTCCAGCAAAAACTAAGTTTAAAACCTGAAATGCTGTTATTGAATATAATGCCAGAGCTCACTGATTTAAAAATAAAATAAAATATAGTCTACTGTATATATATGCACATATAAAATATAGTCTACTGTATATATCCACATCACCCAGGTTACTCTGGGCCCAAAAATGGAAGAATGGAAAAATACCAATGATGGAGGAGCTATTTAAAAAGTAACTGGATATTGCAGAACTAGATATGCTTTCAGAGGCAATACAGGATCAACTGAGATACTTTATAAAGGAAAGGTGGAAGCTAATGTACAATTGGGTCTAGAAACAGACAGGAACATAGGGGAAGAAATGAGTGTGGTGAACCAGTGCTTACAAGAACCCTTTGAGGATATTAGATGACCTAGACGATGACAAAATCTCTGATCTATACATGTAGTATGAAGGTTTAGGTTTTGTTGTCGTTTGTTGTTTTTGTTATGTCTTACTCTATTATTTTGTATGTTTTGTATGGATGAGCAATGATAAAATAATTTTTTTAAAAGTAGTTCCATATCCTAAAAGAGCAAAGAGGATAGGGATGATAAGCTTGGTAAACTGATATCTTAGGTGTGCTAGCAATTTGGGATTTTAAGCAGCTCATTAGAATCCATGCAAGCTATCCCAGCTCTGTACCATTTTGTTTTTTTGTTTTTTTGTTTTTTTTAGTGTGGGTTATTTTAAGAGAGAAAAGAAGCAGATGAATGTTCAAAGAGTTAGGAAAATGCTCTATTCAGATTCATTTACTATTATCTCTTATTGTAGATAAACAGAAAAAGGACATTTCTGGTAAATAATTGTCACTTTATAATATCTCCAGTTCTTCATACAGTACATGGTATGAAAATGAATGGATGTTCCATTTCTCTAAATAGTCATAAAAACATTAAATGATGCTTCCTGTGTCAGGCATTCGAGATTCCAGCTCTCCTTTCTTTTTGGCCACTGGTTGTCTCAGTTTACCATTCAATCACCTTTGCCAGGGAAGCTCACTGTCAAATTTTTATTATTTTTCTTTTGCTTTTAAAATCCATAGTTCAGATGTTCAGGTTCTCAGAACTGGTGGGAAAAAGGAACAGTGCTAACCTTCCCACCCCCCGCTGCCCTACTAGCATAATACTTCTTTGTTTTACAGTTTCACCCACTTCTAGGCTTGCTCCCCCCCCCAAAAAAAAATGTATGTGGCTCAGACGTGTGGTTTGCAACCCCCAGTCATTTGGCAACCCTTGCTGTTGCCTGCAAGGAAACCCACTGGCAGTCTCATATCTTGCTGATCTTTTATGAAAGACTGCTGGCCCCCTGAACAAATCCACCTGCTTGGAGCCATGTAAAAAGCAAATTATTAGGTTCTAATCCTGATGCAAAGTGACAGTCTGTGCTCCCTTTTGGACTTTGCCCATTGACTGGGAGAACTTCCAGGTCCCCAGCTTGGCCAGTTCTTTGGGATTAGGGTAAAATGATCTGTTAATTCTCAATGACACATGGGTTCTTCTGGCACACACAAAACGCTCTGATAAAATTTCAGGAGGGCATTTTATTTGGTTTATAGGAAAACCATCATGGCACTTTGGAAATGAACAAATTTTGTTTAGCATAAGCTGCCATGTACTACAGCCCCTCTTTGGAGGCATCAGGTATCTTATAAATGATCATTATCATCGTCATCACCATCTTGGAAATGCAGAGCTGAAAGGAGGGGAGGTGTTACATACAGCACTGATGTTACCTGTCTGTCATGGGTTTGGAGGGAAAGTTCCATCCTATGGGGAGTGGAAGGCGGGACATCAGGAGGAGGGGCTGTACTGTATATATATGGGAATCCTGTGTGGAGAAGTTTAGGAGGAGCTGAGTAGAAGCTGAGAAGAAGAAGCTGGTGTGGGAGTCTGTGTGTCAGACAGGGTACTACTGTGTGTCAGTCAGTACCAACCTGATAGGTTCAGGTCTCTGTATGGTTAGCCAGAACTGATAGGTTCAGGGTCTGTGCTTTATTTAAGAGTGTTCTGAGTGAACCAAACTGGTGTATGCATGATTGAGACTAAGCCACGTTACTGTATCTTATTCACTTGATCATTTTATTTTCCCTGTGTGTTGTTTAAATAAACCTTATTCTTTTATTTGTTGAAAATCCATTCCTGGTCTGTGTGACTCCTTACAGGGAATGGTTGGTGGCAGCTTAGTGAAACTGTGGCGTATCCCAGTAGGTCTGGGGTTGTCACACCTATGAATCATCAAGTCCAGCCCCTGTCAAGGAGGCACAGTGGGGAATTGAACACCCAACCAGATACCTAAACCACTGAGCTATCAAGCAGGAAATGGATGTTGTCCACAAAGGCTTGATGCTTAACCCCCGCCCCCCAAAAAAGGTTTCTTTTTAATATACTGCAAAACTTTGTTGTGTTTGCTCTGATACAAGAAAGGATCTTCTGTATCCTCTTGTACGCAGTTGTAGTGGCTGCTAGATTCTTAGTGCTGTTCTGCTTCAGATAGGAAGAGAATTTCAATGCGAAATCTACCCTCCTGATTTTATTAAAAGAAAGTTAATTACTATTTTTACTAAGATTACCGCCAGATTTTAATGTCAAAAACTTATGTTTTTTGCTAGCTTTCATTCTTTCTGGTGGGAACTGTCCTTGGGTTGCTCAATGATACTTATGAAATGCCATTATGGATTTATCATAAAGGAACTCAGAATACAAATATCTGGGGCTTTTTTTTGTTTACGTATATGGGGTGATCAGCTGGGTTTTCTCTCCAGATGTTCCCCTTAAGTCTGTCCAGAAGTTCAATAGGTTCTCCAGAGGGCTGCTGTTATTTCTCCTTCCACCTTTCTAGCCTGTAGCTCTAGGTTCATTATGATTTTGTTTTGCTTTGTTCTGAAGCCATTCAACACAAAGATGGCTATAGGTGAAAGCCATGAGCCTCTTAAATCCTGCTCTACCACTCTTAACCACTAGACTACACTGCCTTTCTTTATGTCGATCCCTGTACTAGCTTGTCTAACCACCTTTTTATTTGCGTTTTAATCCCTGCTTGCAAAGATTTTTGACAACATGTGTACCAAGGTAAGTGTTACAAGTATATTCACCTCTTCAGTGTTTCTTCAATCACTAGTGGCAAAATATTTCATCTAAAAAAAAATAAACGTGTTTGTCTTATATGTTATTTTCATAAAATGGATCTCTTATTTCCATGGCATCTTTTACCATACATTCATTCAGAATCATTAACAATAGGATGTTGGGAAAGTTGCTTTTTCAGAATATAACTCCCAGCATCTTCTAGTCAGCAAAAACAGTGGCAATGTGGCTGGGAATTTTGAGAGTCGTCAGCCAGAAAAGTAACATTTCCCAAGCATTAATTCAAGTCCCAAATAAAAACACAATTTCTCACATGACATTCTAAGTGTCTCTTTCCTCCTACAAAACAGGTAGCACCCGTTGTTGAAGGATGTGTACTGCTCTCAGCCCAAAGGCCCGAGGCCCTGGCCTCTCTGATATGCACCAGTATAGCCAGTGGCTGGCAAGCAGACATGAGGCGAATTTGTTACCAATGAAGGAAGACCTGGCTCTGTGGCTGACAAACCTGTTGGGTAAGGCTATTGTTCTACACTGTAATTATACTCGGCTATTTTTAAGGTATCCATGCTCAGTTCAGGCTCTTGTTCTTGAATCACAAGTAGAAAAGCTTGCTCTAAATCGATGGCTTGCCTTCTAGCCTATCTCCTCTTCTCTCCTATTCAGTGAGTTATTTTTAGCACCTGTTCCTAGCTTGGGAACCTTCAAGAAAACAAATGTGTTCTTGCTATAATTCAGAAGTGGTAGCATGTGGCCCCACTCTCTTTTACATAGAGACTTATATACTGTAGGCAGTAATGGTGTCTGGGGCAGGATAGAGTGTATTGCTTATCTGCTGCCCCATAACCCTTTCCCAGATGATATTCACCATTCTATGATCAGTCATGCTCATACTATCTGGGAGGGTTTTCCCCCCCCTTTTCCCCTTTACAGTTTTTATGAAAAGCATGTTGTGTATCTCCAAATATCTGTTTCTTTAAACACGCTGATTATGTTTGTTCTTTTTGAAAGGCATAAATGTTAACACATCATTCTTAGTATTTCATAGTAGGACTAATGTCTCATACATCTGCATACTTTCAGAACAAATGAATCTAGCTGAGTGAGTTATTTTTAGCACCTGTTCCTAGCTTGGGAACCTTCAAGAAAACAAATGTGTTCTTGCTATAATTCAGAAGTGGTAGCATGTGGCCTCTCTCTCTTTTACATAGAGACTTATATACTGTAGGCAGTAATGGTGTCTGGGGCAGGATAGAGTGTATTGCTTATCTGCCGCCCCATAACCCTTTTTCAGATGATATTCACCAATATTCACTAATGTCTCATACATCTGCATACTTTCAGAACAAATGAATCTAGCTGCTTTAAACCAGTGGTGTCGAACTGTGGCCCTCCAGATGCTCTTGGCCTTCAACTCCCAGAAATCCTGGCCAGCAGAGGTGGTGGTGAAGGCTTCTGGGAGTTGAAGTCCAAGAATATCTGGAGGGCTATAATTCGACACCACTGCTTTAAACCAATGGTCCCCAGCCTTCGGCCTCCAGATGTTCTTGGGCTTCAGCTCCCAGAAATCCTGGCCAGCAGAGTTGATGGTGAAGGCTTCTGGGAATTGTAGTCCAAGAACATCTGGAGGCACAAGGTTGGGGACCACTGCTTTACCAATATTCACTAATGTCTCATACATCTGCATACTTTCAGAACAAATGAATCTAGATGCTTTAAACCTCAGTGAGACATTCTAATTCAGCTGCTTACATTTGGTTTCCTCTGAAATCAATGAAATATAAGTTGTTACTAACTTTTCACATTGATTTCAAGGAGAACTAAGTGCAACCAACTCAATATGGATTTAGTCCAGTGTATTTTATATCCCTGCTCAAGAGTTAACCTAAATCCTTGTTGGGCTCAATGAGCAGTGAGGATTTTGGGCTGCATGCACACCTCATCTCTACCTACCTCCCCCATATGGAAATCTCTTGGACCTTTATATCAGTGGTCCCCAACCTTGGGCCTCCAGATGTTCTTGGACTACAACTCCCAGAAGCCTTCACCATCACCTCTGCTGGCCAGGATTTCTGGGAGTTGAGGCCCAAGGTTGGGGACCACTGCTTTATATAAGACAAGCTCCTGATCATGCAAATACTTTAACTGTGTGCTGTGAGAAGCAAATACTTACAGCCTCTGCTGTGAACCTTTGCATTAATTGCAAAAAAAATTAAAAGTCTGAAAGGCTTCTGGATAGGATGAGGATCTAGAGAAAATACTTATATGCACGTGTCACCTCTACCAGCTGCTGAGACCTACAAAGATTCAAGCTTAAAGCCTGAATAGTGCTTATGCTTGCCACTGAAACAGAAGTCAATTTTGCTCAAAATGCAGAACTTATAAATGTACAAAACCCGGCATAGATCCAGCCGAACATCTCTGTTTGCCTCTCTTGACACAGTGCAACATATTGTTGAAGAGCCCAGCATGTTAAATATATTTACACTCAAATAGTTGAGATGACAGTTTACTTGCATGAGGCTGGCAACAGGGAGGCAAGTGTGCCCCATGAACTCCTCCTTTTGTGCCACTTATGAGAGGAAAAAGGTAGTGTCTCCTGTTCTACCCAGCACTGGCTTTCCCTCCAGATCTAACTTAGATTATAAACAGAAAATGGCTACCTAGAGTAGAAAGAATGTGCTTAAGGCCAGGCATTTCCCCTCACCTCTTTACTCCAATACATGTCAAATGATTCATCTGCTGTGTATGTCTAGTGGGAGAGACCAAATCTGAACATCTCCATTTTAGTTCTTGCTTTTGCTCTGAATTTACTAGCTGGCCTTAGACAAGCCACTCTCCCAAAATTCCTTTTTTGGGGATGACAACTCCCAAGCATTTTCCAATCAGCACTATCAATGGTTATACTGCTGGGGGCTACCAGGAGCTGTCACTGGAAAATGAAACTTTTCCAAGCTTCCAGCTTCACCAGGAGCTGGCTGGGGGATTCTTGAAAGAGCCAATCCAAAACTGAAACTTTGGTAAATTCTACGTTAATGCCAATAGGAAAGTAAGATGCAGCATTAAATGTGGTGATGGTATCTGGCCTAGATGCCTTTAAAAGGGGATTGGACAGATTTCTGGAGCAAAAGTCCATTGCAGGTTCCAAGCCATGATGGGAATGTATACTCCCCAGGTTTAAAAAGAAGGTGCTTCAAAATGCCAGATGCAGGGGACTGGTATCAGGAGACAGGTATCTAGTCGTCTCATGTGTTCCCAGAGGCGTCTGGTGGGGCCACTGAGAGATACAGGAAGCTGTACTAGATAGGCCCTTGGCCTGATCCAGCAGGGCTCTTCTTAAGTTCTCAATGATAAAGTCTGTTGATTTCAAAGATTTATGAAATTCATACTTGGAGCATGTCTTTTTGAAGGGGAAAGGCTATATGCCAGCAAAAGAATCAATACATTTTTGGAGAGGTATGGAGTGAAAAGGGACATAAATGATTACTGGTCACCTAGTCCCAAGGATGAAGGTGGCATGGGTGGGGAAAGTCCAATGCACAATGTATGTAGTTATAATTGAATTTGTATTTTTGCTTTAATATTAAACTAAAATTAAAGAAGGGTGCGGCTGGTAGGAATTAAGACAGCGGTGGCGAAACATTGGCAATTCAGGAACCCCGTGATAAAGGACTATGAGAGTTGTCATCCAAAACATCTGTAGTGCCAACGACCCTCCGCAAAGGCACAGAGCTGCCTGGGTGGGGGCTCTTTGCCCACCCACTCAAAGAGTGACAGGCAGGGTCCTCATGAGAGATACAGGAAGCTGTACTAGATAGGCCCTTGGCCTGATCCAGCAGGGCTCTTCTTAAGTTCTCAATGATAAAGTCTGTTGATTTCAAAGATTTATGAAATTCATACTTGGAGCATGTCTTTTTGAAGGGGAAAGGCTATATGCCAGCAAAAGAATCAATACATTTTTGGAGAGGTATGGAGTGAAAAGGGACATAAATGATTACTGGTCACCTAGTCCCAAGGATGAAGGTGGCATGGGTGGGGAAAGTCCAATGCACATTGTATGTCATTATTATTGAATTTGTATTTTTGCTTTAATATTAAATGAAAAATAAAAAAGGGTGGGGTTGGTAGGAATTAGGACAGGGGTGGCGAAACATTGGCAAATTCAGGAACCCCGTGATAAAGGACTAGGAGAGTTGTCATTCAAAACACCTGTAGTGCCAACGACCCTCCGCAAAGTCACAGAGCTGCCTGTGTGTGGGCTCTTTGCCCACCCACTCGAAGCGTGACAGGCAGGGTCCTCATGAGAGGACGGGCAGGCCTGGCTCAATGTGAGTTTTTAAACCAAGCCTTGTGGCCTGCACCATCCTCTTCCCTGCTTGACAAGCGACCCACCATCCCACCAGGGTAAGAAGGAGAGTAACTGGTCACTTCAGGGCCCGGTGGGAATTTTTGACCTGCATCAAATTGGCTCTAGGCTACAGGTGGTTTTACGCCCATCTCATTCTTATTCCCAGGGATCACATGGGAGCTAAATAGGTCACTGGCAGTACCATCATGATGCTAAACAGGGTGGGCACCTCGAAAGTGCAAGGGATCCCTCCTCTCAGAATTGCATTTACAGAGGTTTGGGGTTGGGTGGGCAAAGGCTGGAATTGCTTCAGAGCCCACTGATAATAGAAAACAGTACAAGAAGGATCCAGGCAAAGGGGCACAGAATCAATTGTTTTATTATATGTCATTATGTTTTGTATTTTTCTGCCAGTGTTGGTTGTCATGCTAATTGCAAATCATCCAACTATATACAAGGATATAAATAAATAGGTCACTGGCAGTACGATCATGATGGTGGATAGTGCTAAACAGGGTAAGTTCAGGTGAGTGCCAGGGTGGGCACCCAGAAGGTGCAAGGGATCCCTCCTCTCAAAACTGCATTTACAAAGGTTTGGCTGAGGGGAGGGAAAACAGGGAGACCCCAGGGGACTCTGGGCACTTGGAGTCTAGAGACTCGGGTAGAAGGCATCCCCGGGTACTCTGTGTGGATGGCCAACAGGGTGCTGGACAGTTCAACAGCACCCTCTCAGGGTAGGAACTCCCAGGCGCAAAGGTCTGGACTGGTTGGTCAAGAATGATGAGGGTTCTAGACCCGTTAACACTACGGCTGCCCCCCCCTTGTAAAAGTTAAATAGCTAATAAAGTTGTGGCCCTAGCTTTAACCCATATCACGGTGTCTCGTCTCGTCATTTTGGGTTGGGTGGGCAAAGGCTGGAATTGCTTCAGAGCCCACTGGGAATTGAAAACAGTACAAGAGGGATCCAGGCAAAGGGGCACAGAATCAATTGTTTTATTATATGTCATTATGTTTTGTATTTTTCTGCCAGTGTTGGTTGTCATGCTAATTGCAAATCATCCAACTATATACAAGGATACTTTTAGAAAGCCTTAAACAAATGAACAAATTATTCCAGAGGGAACTGTAATTTGCTTAAAACCAACAGCAAATCAGATATCTCCTTTGTGAGTACAAGAGAAGAGGAAAGGGAAGTGGGAGCACGTGAACCAGAGGCTTGCCCTATCTCATTCATAAAGGAGGAAATCCATGCTCAGATAATATTCAAATAATATTGTGCTGAATTCAGTCATCATTTGTGCCTCTGACCAGAGGTTTCTCCTGATAAAGAATACAGTACCATTTGTTTCCAACAGTATTTGACAATCATAATGTAGTGCTAGATATCTTGAGGGTGAACAACTACAATTATGTTATACTAGAAAATGAAACCCTAATCCAGCCATAGTCATTATGAAATCCAGAGTAAAAACATGTTTATGATGTGCATGAAAAGAAGGGTCCTGCTGTTATTTAGACTCTACATGTGAGCAGAAACTCATAGTTCCTCCAAGACTGTTGCTTGCATGGAGACCCTACAAGGGAGCAGAAAGTCTTCATCTGCAGATGAGACATTGCTCTCATGAGCAAAGAGATGTAGGGGGTGGGCATACTGATCTCTCTACATGAACCTGTTGATGATTCCAGATCACAGGATGACTGAAAAGGGCGTCAGGAATAATTTCCTCAAGTATGATTAGATGAAAGTGTCTAGCCCTTTTCTAATCACCACTTTCTCCATAGGAGCAGGCATGAATCTAAGGAAGAGAGGCCCTTGCCTTGTGGATGAGCAAGAACCCTGGAAAATCTGGGTTCTTGCTTTTATGTAAAAACTCAATGCAACCTTTCTTCTTGATTACTTAGAGAAAGCTGTGGCCAGAGGTATGAAACTAGGTGCTCCCCTCTAACCATATTCACAGTACTAGGACTTAAATTGGTGGTACTACAATGTCTCCTCAGATAATCAACATTTGACAAAACTAATGCTGGTTATCATTTTTATTTCATATCAGGAAAAGAAATAACAGCTGAGACCTTCATGGAGAAACTGGATAATGGTGCCTTGCTCTGTCGGCTGGCGGAAACTTTACAGGAGAAGTTTAAAGAAAACTGCATTGAGGTCAACAAATTTGGAAAGGTAAATGTTCCTGAAGTCCAAAGTTCCTAGTGACACAGTTGTCAGCAGTCTGCTATTGTTTTAAGAGATTGGCAGTCTTCTGTCCTTCCAGCTATAATGCCTTAGTTCCAACATTTCATCTTCCCACTCTGTCTTTCTTCTTTCTTTTACCTACAAAGATGGTTGTGGCATTTTGCTGCAACGTGTCATTGTTGAGTCAGAAGTCATGATTCAATGTGCTATAAGTTTCCATAGAATCCTGTTGCATTTTTATCTTTCTTGCTCAAAATTAAATAACATTTCTTCCATTCCAGAGGCTAAGGATAGTACATTTGGGGATCTAGTACCCTGAGTCCCAGAATTCACCTAGAATCCTCCAGGTGGAATTCTGGGAGTGGGACAACAAAAACCAGAAGACAAAAGATATGTATCACTACTTCCATTCTCTGCTTCACTTCACATGTTTCTGCTTTGAAAAAGAAGGGGATGCCCTCCCCAGCCCCCCTGGAGTCCCAATGCTGCCTGGAAGTCTCCCTAATGCTTCGGTCAATGGGGCAACTACCAAGCAGCGCTGGCTGCTCCAGGGAGCACAAGAGTTCCTTCTTCTTCAGAGCAGAAACATGTGAAGTGAAGCAGATAATGGAGGCAAGGAAGCATCTTGTTTGTCTTTTGATTTTTGCTCTCCCATTCCCAGAATTTTGCCTGTGATATTCTAGGTGAATGCTGAGGGCAGGAATCCTAGAAACCTTTAAAAGGTTTTCAAAAACCAACTAAAAACTTAGTTATTTAAACAGGTCTTCCCCCAAGTCAAGTAAGTTTTCTTTTCTTTCTTTTTCTTTTTCTTTTTGAGTTTTGCCATCTTGGATAGTATTAATTATAATAATTGCACTATATATGTTATTTATAAGCTGTTTAAATGTGTTTTAACTTATGTAAGCCACCCCGACTAGACGTCGTCTAGAGGGGTGGGGTAGAAATCGAATAAATAAATAAATAAAGTAAATATTAAAGTCCATCTTTACCAGAGGCAATAATAACACAGACCTGAAATCACTTGTTTCACTAAGGTTACAAGCAATGTTCAAACATACCTCTCCTTTTTAATGCTTGTTAGTGTCTCCTTGTGAAAACTCCTTTATACACCAAATGCTTATGCTCAGAGACAGTCCAGAGCATTTTGCTGCCTGAGATGGACAAATTGGCGCCATTCTCCTTCCTAGTCCACATATAGAACTCAACTGACTTTTTAATCCATTGGATGTCATCCTTCACCATGCCTGAAAGGAGAGGCTAGTTTGTGGGCCCAAGAAGGACTATGAGTGGCATATTCATGTCTGGTCCCTGACAGAAGCGGTAGCCAAGAGGTTGTAACTGCTGCCCCCATCCCAGCATCTGCTGCTTAAAACATCTATCTATGCCTTATGGTAGGGCAAATCCTATTTATACTGATTCAAATCAGGCTGGTTGAGGCCAGAACTGTCTGCTCTGAGTAGCAGCAGATCCATAAGGAATCAAACAGGAGCCTTGCCAGGCCTATCTGTGCTCTTTTTAAAGCAGGTCCTCGACAGGACCATCTACATGTAAATCATGTGCTCTCCCGTTGAGCTGTGGTTACTTCAGATCATCGCATTCACTGCATGATATTATGAACAGAGCTTGGAAGAACTGCATGTGAGCTGAAGGATTTGGGCAGCCTCTGTCCAAAAGATTAACATTTCCAAGCTCTGTTACAATTAAACGCAGCAAGGGGCAACAGTCAGGGGAAAACGAGTGCGGAGACAAAAGCATCAGCAACCAAGCAAGCCGATGGTGTCTGAATGAATAAAGAAAAAAGAAAGAATAGTCTACCCCTCTGAAAATTGTTGTTACTTTAGACTTGAAATTAGAGAATATGTGTTACAACTTTCATATTTGCTGTCAACTATGACAGACACTTTGATCATAGCAATATTTGTAAGTGAAGTAATTCTGTGATACAGAGGATAACACATTGACTTCATCAATTTCTCTTGTCTTCTTGGGCTTTGCTCTTCATCTTCTGTACACTAAAGTATGACACGTCACAGTAGGTTAGGTTGTCCCTTTTTCAGGACGCTCAGAAGTCATTTTCTTCCTCAAAGCACTATACGAGTCATGTGAATGAGATTAGCAAACCTCACTCAAATGCTATGCAATATATGTGTATTTTAATTCACATTCTGTAGTGCAAGACTGCAAAGAAATGGCAGTGTAAAATAATGTAATGGCTTTGTTTCACTGCCAAATATTATAGAGGCATTTTTCCTTTCACATTGTAATTCGCTCTGCAGAAGTCTCACAGAGTAGAATCCATCACTGGAAAATGTGGACCTCAGTGCCAAGGAACGTTATATGAGAATGCTCGTGCATGAAATTTAGCATAGTAAGGATTCCATAATACTCCCCTGGACCATTACTCTCCACTGTATTCATAATATATGCGCTACCATGGAACCATGAAACTGCTAAGAAATCAAGAAGCATAGCATGTCTCCCCTCCCTCCCTTCCAGCTGCTACCTTGAAGCTAGCATTTGTAGTAGACAGCTGGGCCTCTTAGACACGTCAGCCGCTATTAAAATAGATAAAGCATTCTGAAATATCTATATACATATATATGTGGTGGCCGATTAAAAAAATAAAACAGCTGCCAGAAGAACGATTCTGGAGATAAGGTTATAGCTGAGCAGAGGAGAGGCAGAGAATGTAGGAAAGGGCCACAGGGAAAGAAAAAGAGAAACAAGGGAGGTGTGGAATTTTAATCTGGACACCTTCATACCAGTCAGGAGGATCATTCCTGCACATTTTCAAAATGACAGATGTCAATCTCAGAATAGAAAGTCCACCCTGGTTGCATTTATTTTCCATAAATCGATTAAAGCAGTACTGCTGTACTCCTCAGTATTCTGCTAAAAGTAAATTGGAATTGTGGATTTGGTATGAGGTCAAGTCACATATCACAGGGTGCATATTAAGAATTTGTTATTCATACATTAGATCTCTGATGAGAACCCACTCTTTCTTGATTCTTGCTGAAATTTCTTTTAATTATACATGGGCAAGAAATACCAGGGAAATTTAATTTTACTGATTTAGGACAAATCAAAATGTCAGGTTCCTATGTTGTTGTTGTTTAGTTGTGACATCATGTCCAACTCTTTGTGACCCCATGGACTAGAGCATGCCGGGCCCTCCTGTCTTCCACTGCCTCCTGGTCAAAGTCATGTTGGTAGTTTTGATGACACTGTCCAACCATCTCATCCTCTGTCGTCCCCTTCTACTCTTGCCTTCACATTTTCCCAACTTCAGGGTCTTTTCCAGGGAGTCTTCTCTTCTCATGAGATGGCCAAAGCATTGCAGCCTCAGCTTCAGGATCTGCCCTTCCAGTGAGCACTCAGGGTTGATTTCCTTCAAAATGGATAGGTTTGTTCTCCTTGCAGTCCAGGGGACTCTCAAGAGTCTCCTCCAGCACGACAATTCAAAAGCATCAATTCTTTGGTGGTCAGCCTTCTTTATGGTCCAGCTCTCACTTCCATACATCGCTACTGGAAAAACCATAGCTTTGACTATACGGACCTTTGTTGGCAAGGTGATGTCTCTGCTTTTTAAGATGCTGTCTAGGTTTGTCATCGCTTTCCTTCTAAGAAGCAGGCTATATCATATAGGAATGAGAATGAAGTTATACGAAACAGATATTGGAAGACACGATGCAAATTCTCTCATTGTTTTATGTACAGTATGGGAATAACATGTTTCAAAGTAAAACGTCACTTGGAGTATGTGGTTTTCCACCATTAGGCATAGGCATAGGCATCCTTCAGTCTTGAGAGACTATGGTGCTGTACTTTGTATGGAGGTCTTAGATGCTGTATGTGAAGCTGGAGTGTCCTCTCCAGAGCACGAAGCCTGGGTAAAGTAACATGGAGGATAGGCTGTTACCCAAACAGTAAATCCCCTCTGTCCACATCACTGAAATAGTCCAATGGAAAGGCAAGAGCCAATACAACTGGCTCCAGCGATGTCGCAAGAGTTGTCAGAACTGTGGGTCCTGATGGCAATTTTTAGAGTATATATTTTAATTGTATTTTAATTGTTTTATCTTTTATTGTATTTTAATTGTATTTTAATTGTTGTAAGCCGCCCAGAGACCTTTGGATAGAGTGGGTGGCATATAAGTTAAATAAATAAATAAATAAAACACAGTATGTTTAGTATCCATCTGTACTTGTCTGGATTCCGGCCAATGAACTCCACTTATTGCAACAATCCGAATGCTCATCCTCCTCATAACTTTTACTGTATAGTGGATTCTTCCTACCTCTTGCATCCTTTATATACTCCAGGTTCCTAATCTCAACTTGTGAAGCTTAGGTCCCGAAAATACCTGTTTTGTGAGCGTGGAGGGAGCTGTCAAAATTGTCGTCTAGCGAAAATCAGTTTGCGAAGCAGGGACCAAACATTGTCCAGCGAAATTCCCCCATAGGAACCACTGTTTTGCGAATCACTATAGTGATTGCAAAAAGTCAATGTCTAGCGAAAAAACTGTTATGCGGGGTAACTGTCTAGCGAGGCACCACTGTATATAAATAAATGACACGAACTGCCTCTGGGACTCCATCTCTGGATTTTGCCTCAAGGTTAACTCCTGAAGCCTTTTCCATCAGTACATATAGCCACAAGGCAGTGGAGGTTTGAAATCGGAGTTTTCCTTCTCCTAGATGGGCTGCCTTCCAACACTAACAAGTCCCACCTACCCAGGCTGCTCCATCAATGCATGGGTGACACCATTAACAAGAGGAAATATCCATGGTGATTCAAATAGGGGTATGTAGAGGCCCTCCAAGCTTCTCTGTGCTGAAATAAAGGCACATTGATTGCAGCCAACACATCTTGTGCCCTTTTGGAGACATTCTGGTTTGGTCCTTGTCTCAGTTTGTGATGACATTTTTGTGTTTCCTATGCTACCTGAGGTCCCCATTCCTTCAATGGGGGAATGCAAATGGGA